TGGGGAATCTGCTGCACAAGATCTCTTTAAAGTGTTAAAAAGCAAAGGTGTCACCTTGAGGATTAAGGTGGGGCTGATTTGAGCCATGGTATTTTCATGGCCTCATGTACACGTGAACACTGGACAATGAATAAGGAAGAGGGAAGAAACGAGACCTTTGGATAACGATGTTGCTTAAAATAGCAATGCTGCCATGCAATGCCAGAGGAACAAGCAAATACGTCTTCGAAGAAGTACAGCTAGACTGATCTTGTGTGAATCTGGGTTGACAAGAGAAACACATCCAGAGGCATTTATATTTGTATAAGAAAGAGCATTATATACAACAGCAATTGAATATTGAGACAATACCCTAGCCCAATCCAGATCAAGTTGTGAAGTCCAATATTAACCTATATGTCCAATACCAATCTATAAATTCCTCTTCAGACAGACTCATGAAATACATGCAATGATGCTGAGTGCAGGAAGATCATAAGCCAGTGGGTGGAAAGTCTGGTGGATCCATTGGTGGTATAAGCATCTCAGCGCTGGCATGGGTTTCCATGTGGCTCCTCCAGGGTTCTAGTGTAGCTCCATGTGTATTCCCCTCAGGAATACGAAGCAGAGAATGTCTGTCTGTATCTGGCCTCCAGTCAGCTGTTTACCTCCTTCAAGCCTCCAAATGAGGTTGTCAAGCTGCCACTTGCTTGACAGGCTAGACTCCACCCCTTTGCAAGTTAACAGGAGATTATGTAACTGCCACAGACCTTTAGAAGAAAGAGTATGTAGAATGATCATGACTACTTTGGGCATGTTATTAAGAAGGATACGTCCTTGAGCAGGACATCATTCTTGGTAGAAAGGGAGTGAAAAATCTGAAAACTCTCAGTGAGATGACTGACCCAGTGACTGTACCCATGGACTCAAACAGAGCAACAGTTGTGAGGATAGAGTAGGACAGGGTAGCTGATCATGGACTAGCTAAGAATTGGAGCCTATCTCATGTCATCTAACACTAAGACATCTCAATTCATATATGAGAAGATAATTATTCTCTCTTTACTTCTGTACAAGCTATTTCTAGCCATCCTGTTGGGCGTAATGGTTTCTAATCATTCTTTTGCCTGTGATTTTGTCAATTCAACAGAATTTGCTACATGGAAGCACATGTTCAAAAATCATATTTAGGATAGATATTTCCCATGTCATGTAACACTGGAAGTATGAGGTGTGGATAAAGAGGAGGAAACAATCTGAAATCATGGAGCCAGAAGCTAGTCTGTGTAACAAATTTCATAGAGTTAATAAAATAGTAAAAAGTTTTCCTAAATGTTCCATTTTTTGTGTGGGCTTTGATATTGTTTATAATATTTTCTAGCTAGATTTTTTTCAGCATTCTAACAAATACTGATTTTCTATTTGTTGCATTCCTTTTCAAAAAGTAGGCTTCAACATTGTACAAACTTTAGGCTCTACAAAATCTGAATCCTACCTTGATAATCTATAGCAGACTAATGCATCCATAAGCCCAATGTAAGAATAAGGTAGCTATTACCTTAGTTTTTAAATGACTTGTTAATAAGTGATGCATTTCCTAAACTTGCTAGAACTTTCTGTAGAAGTTCTATAAGAAATTCATGGTGCTCATTGTAAATAAGACTTAATTTCTGAAAGGCAACACATTTTAATTTTTATTCACTATTACTCTCCAGATATAGAGCTGGACATTTTTCCAGGACAATCCTAGCAGCTTGTCAAACTAGGCAGATGCGTCAGACCGGAATTCATTTAAAGAAAACATCACAATCAAACTTTAGCATTTGTTAAAAGTTGTTTTCTTCTCCATTACACAGTGCTATTTTTTATTTGTTTCTCTTTTTCTTCCCTAATATTACCAGTTCTTTTATTATGGAGCACAGCAATGAGATGACAACAGAAACATAAGGTAAATTATTCCATGACTTTCAGAAAAGCATTTGTTGTTGAATATCTTAATCAACATTTTGAGAATGAAGCTCATTTTAATTCCTAGGTTTGTTTACCTCTAAGTCACATGAAATGCTTGCATTTTAGACGCTGAATCACCAGAGGCAGCTACACAGCTTTGTTCATGAGTGGGTTGAGGGAATTGTACTGGATGAATGTATTTTCAAAAATGCTTCTGCTCCAATTAACCAATTAATGGTTAGGATACTGGCATAGTTTTCATTTTTCCAAGTCTCATATTTCAGAATCAACCAATGATCCCTATATGAGCCCTGAATATTACATTTAACTCTGGGTAATGGAAGAAAGTTACCCCTGGATCTAAAGTGAAAATTGTTGGAGGGGAGTAGTGAGGGAGGGGGTATTATATATTGATGCTATGGCCATGTAGAATGATTCAAGGCCCTTTTAAAAAATTTAAATCATTTTATTGGGGGAATCATACAATTCTTATCACAATCCATGCATACATCCATTGTGTCAAGCACATTTGCACTTTTGTTGCCCTCATCAGTCTCAAAACATTTGCTCTCCACTTGAGCCCTTGGAATCAGCTCTTCATTTTGCCCCCTCCCTCCCTGCTTCCCTCTCCCTCATGAGCCCTTGATACTTTATACATTATTAGTATTATTATTTTATCATATCTTACACTGCCTGACATCTCCCTTCACACACTGTTCTGTTGTCCATCCCCCAGGGAGGAGGTTGCAATTGGTTCCCCCTTTCTACTCCACTCTCCCTCCACCCTCCTGGTATCACCACTCTCACCACTGGTCCTGAAGGGATCATCCGTCCTGGATTCCCTGTGCTTCCAGCTCCTATCTGTACCAGTGTACATCTTGTGGTCTAACCAGATTTGTAAGGTAGATTTGGGATCATGATAGTGGGTGGGTGGGGTGGCGGGGGGAGGAAGCATTTAAGAATGCTCTTAAGCATTTAAGAACTAGAGGAAAGTTGTGTGTTTCATGGAAGCTACACTGCACCCTGAGTGGCTCGTCTCCTCCCCGCTCTCCCTCTGCGAAGGGATGCCCAGTTAAGGCCTTTTTATCTTGGTGCTCATGTTTTCTGTTTCTGTTTCTGTATTATTTGAAAAAAGCCCCTAGTAAGTACCACTCTGGGGAATTTCAACAGCGGCGTCCGGGACTAATCAGTTAGGTCTTTCATGACCTAAGATTGTTTTGACAATTCTCAACCCCACTGCAGTTCACATCAGAGAACATAATTTCTATTTAGAGAAAATGCTTTCCTGTCCTGGGGTGCAAGATGAAAGTGAAATATGATGCTGATTTGATACTGTCTTTGAGCCTTTCGCATTGTCACATTTTCAGATAATCTGATTTTATTAGACCCAAAAGAAAAATATATTTGAACATTTGAGGGTAAAGTTTCCCTTTCATTTCTCTTTTTACCTTGTTATTAGTGTCAATTGTGACCTTAAACACATATCAGACAACCAAGTCATATTTGTTGAACAATTTCATTCTGCATCTTCCCCAAAACATCTTTTTAAAATCAATTACAAACCACTGCTTTTAAGTCGTAGTCATGAAGTGAGATGTTAGATATAGAACATGTGAAACTATAATTAAAATAGTTTAAATAGTTTTCTAGGGGATTTGATGTAAGTAAAGGACAATAAAACGAAACAAAAAACAGTGTCTTCAAAAAAAATCATAGCATTGTGAATGAGGGGGAGTGTGGAGTGGGGACCCAGGGCCCATCTTTGGGAAATTGGACATCCCCTTGCAGAAGGGCTGTGGGGAGGAGACGAGCCAGTCAGGCTGCAGTGTAGCAATGATGAAATATACAATTTTCCTCTAGTTCTTGAATGCTTCCCACCCCCACCACCCCCCGCCCCACTATCATGATCCCAGTTCTGCCTTACAAATCTGGCGGCTGTACACTGGCACAGATAGGAACTGGAAATACAGGGAATTCAGGACAGATGAACCCCTCAGGACCAGTGGTGAGAGTGGCCATATCGGGAGGGTGGAAGGAAGGTGAGGGAGAAAGGGAGAACAGATTACAAGGTCTACATATAACTTCCTCCCTGGGGGACGGGCAGTGGAGAAGTGGGTGAGGGGAGATGTTGGATGGTGTAAGATATGACAAAATAATAATAACTTATAAATTATCAAGGGTCCGGGTGGGAGGGGAGAAGGGAAAAGGAGGGGGGAAAATGAAGAGCCGAAACCAAGGGTTCAAGTAGAAAGCAGGTGTTTTGAGAATGATGATGGCAACATATGTACAAATATGCTTGACGCAATTGATGTGTGTATGGATTGTGATAATAGTTGTATGAGCTCTTAATAAAATGATTAAAAAGAAAAAGAAAATAGCAAGAATATTTGGACCAGATGAACAGTCTCTAGTGCTTGGATAGCAAAACCATTTTGGAAGTTTAAGAATACTTATTTGGTATTTATATTCGTGGAAAATAAAATATAGATTAAAAAATACAGTGTCTTTCTAATGATCGCTATGCGATTTGTCTTGTATTATATAAAAAAGCATTTATAAAAAGTAAGTTATATGAGTACTAAAAAATGTTATGAGTTTGAGAGTGTTACTACCTATTTATTAACTTATTTAGCAGATATTTACTGAGTTTCAACTTGTGCCAATATGAAAATTTAGAGAGCCAGAGGACAGATGGCATAATAGCTAACTATATTTCTTGGTACTATAAAGCACGCTTACAGAGAATTTCATACAGGGTCCTAAGACCAAATGCTTTGAAGTCATTATAGTAATTTATTTTTAGTGAAGGGGCACAATTTGTTTGAAGGACTTCTATCCCGGCATTATATCACAGGAGAGCTTTCTCAACCAATTGTAAAGACATCTTAAGAAAGAGCAAAACAAGTTAATGAGCTTTGAGGATGTAAATTGGTGTCAAGAATGAAAATGATTGCTTTGTGATTTTCACCACACCCTGCAGACGGGGTATATAAAGAGGGTGCTGAGACTAGAGATCCATCATACCCTAAGAAACACCTCTCTTGCAACCTAAGCCTTCCATTCCCAACATCATGTGCTACAACAACTTCTCCGGCACTGTTTTCCCAGGATGCTACTGGGGCAGCTATGGCTACCCTCTGGGGTATAGCGTTGGCTGTGGTTTTGGCAGCACCTACTCTCCAGTGGGTTATGGCTTTGGCTATGGCTACAATGGCTGTGGGGCTTTCGGATACAGAAGATACTGGCCATATGCTCTCTACTAATGCGCTGACGTTCCTGAGGCACAGAGTCTTCTCTCCCTTGAATGCCGAGAGGCACATCTCTAGAAGTCTCCTTGGCCATCCTCGTCTTCCATCTTCAGTTGCTCAACACATGCCAGAGTTGCTGTATTTTCAGACTTAGCCCCAGAGATCAACGCAAGAAATGAAAATTCAGATGATGCTTCCAGCTGAATTTCCTGAGTGATGTTTGTTGGGGCATTTTCAGGAGCTTGACATCCAAACTGTCTGAATTTGCCATCATGCTCTTGGCGTGTTAAAGTTGTGAAATTGCCTCTCAACTTCCTAATAAACTTATTTCAACCAGCATAACCATTTTGTCCTGGAGCTGATATTTCTTTCTTTAAGTGTACGCGTTTTGTTGAGTGATGAGAGGAGTGAATTTGTTTGTCTCTAATTGGTGTAAGGAGCACGTAGTAAAGACATAACCTTTCATTTTTTGATAGTTTTTCCTCCAAACGATTTTAAAGACTTAACCTTTGAACCTGTGTGTTAAGTAGGAAGGAGGAGGACTGGAGGATAATTTGCGATAAGATAAACTCAGAGGGCTGCTAGGGATTTTCCCTGAAGTCTGTGATGTCCACCCCCTAACCCTGGTGGCAGGGGTGTCCCAGGCGTTGCTTGGTGCTCCCTCTTGATCCTGTTCTCCTCCTACTCCCACAAGGAAACCCAGCACAGTAGGGATCTCGTCAGTTATTTACATGCTAGTGCAGATGGTGTTTTGCATAGTGTTTTTCTCCCAGGGACACCTCACTGCACACTTATATATACTATTTAAGGATTTCGGAGCTTTAAGGTGTCCAGTGACGCAACAGTAAGACACACTACTGTTAATTAAAAGGTTGGTGGTTTGAACCCACCTAGAAGCTTTGTGGGAAGCGAGAGCCTAATTATCTATTTCTGTGAAGATCACAATCTAAAGAATTCCTTTGGGGCCGTTCCACTTGGTCACAGGAGTTATTATGAGGAAACTGGATCAAGGACAACTAACAATCTAAAAGCAACAACAAACAGAGGACACCTAACATTCTAAAAACAACAACTTTCTCAGGATCTGAAAGACCTTCTTTTTAAAATCATTTCATTGGGGGCTCATACAACTCTTATCACAATCCATACACACACCAATTGTATAAAGCACATTGTACATTCATTGCCCTCAAGGTTCTCAAAACATTCCCTCTTCACTTCAGCCCTTGGCATCAGCTCCGGATTTCCCCCCTCTCTCCCCACTCCCCACTCCCTCATAAACCCTTGATAATTTATAAATTATTATTTTGTCATATCTTACATTGTCTGATGCCTCCCTTCACCCACTTTTCTGTTGTCCATTCCCTATGGAGGAGGTTATATGTAGATCCTTGTAATTGGTTCGCCCTTTCCACCCCATCCTCCCTCCACCCACCAGGTATTGCCACTCTCACCACTGGTCCTGAAGGGATCATCCTCCCTGGATTCACTGTGTTTCCAGTTCCTATCTGTTCCAGTGTACATACTCTTGTCTAGCCAGATTTGTAAGGTAGAATTGGGATCATGATAGTTGGAGTGGGGTGGAGTGAGGAAGCATTTAGGAACTAGAGGAAAGTTGTATGTTTCATCGTTGCTACACTGTACCATGACTGGCTCATCTCCGCCTTACAACCCTTCTGTAAGGGGCTGTCCAGTTGCCTACACATGGGTCTTGTGTCCCCAATCTGCAATCCCCCCTCATTCACAATGATTTGAGTTTTTGTTCTTTGATGCCTGATACCTGATCCCTTCAACACTTCGTGATCACACATGCCAGTTTAATAGAACAAAGTATTCTTGCATTGAGGGTGTACTTGAATGGAAGCCCAACATCCATCTGCTACCTTAATACTAAACCTGTAAATATATGCACATAGATCTATTTCCTCATCCTCATATATAGATATATTTATGTATGTAAACGTATTTATTTAGACCTCTGTATATGTCCTTCGCCTGCTAGCTCTTTCCTCTATTTCCTTTGACTTTCCTCTTGTCCCACTATCATGCTCAGCCTTCATTTGGGTTTCATTAATTCCTCTCAGTTATATTACCCTTGATCACGCCCTACCGGCTTCCTACACCCTCCTCACCACCGATTTGGATCACTTGTTGTTTCTTTGTCCCTGGGATTGTTTACACCACTTCCTTCTCCCCCACCCCCTCTCCCATGTCCCCTGGAAACTTCATTCCCATTGTTTTCTCCTCCAGATTGTTCATCCAGCCTATCTTATTTAGACAGACCTGCGGAGATAATAACATGCACAAAATCAAGACAGAGCAAAACAAAGCAACAAAAGAAAACAAAACAGCAACAGCAAAAAGCCAGTGACAAAAAAACCCAAAACAGACACACACACATACACACACACAACAACAACAACAACAGCAACAAAGAAAAGCCTGTAGTTAGTTCAAGGACTGTTTGTTAGCCTTTAGGAGTGTTTTCTGGTCAAGTCTGATGAGGTGCCAACCCCTGGCCCCAAAGTTTATTTTTGGCATTCCATGGGGACTTCGTTGCTCTGTTTCCCTTGCTGTTCTGTTGCATGCCCTTAGTGTTTTGCCTTGGTGTGCTGGGATCAGATCAGGCGCAATTCCCACACTGTGTCTCCAGTATTATCCCCTGTAGGACTATGGGTCAGTGAGGGATGTCATGTCTCATAGTGGGGCCGGCCATGTGGTCTTCTCTTTGGATTGGCTGCTCTGAGCAGGAATATTGTCCTCAAGACTTGTTGGCCAGTATGTGCTCCGCTCTCTCTTTCTCCCACTTCATTTGCTCCCATGTGCTCTGATCAGACATGCCCCTCTCTCTGAGCTGCAGCTTCAGTGTTGTCCTCTGAAATAAATTCTTCTGGAGGGAGGGGCATGTGTCCATGTAGTGAGATTGGGGTCAGCCCCTCAGACCTCTCCTCTGGTTCCCTACTCAATGCTTGTATGTTGCATTCACATCTTGGAGCACTGGGTTGAAGACTCATCCCTCTTTCCCTGTGGAGATATAAACAATACACTCCCCTTGGGTGCATTAGAGCCCTGTTCAGTGGCTACTGAAGGGCCTTTAAAAGAAGGGATCTATTTCCTATATCATCATCTGGGCTGGGAAACATAACCATTGTAGACTCAATGAGTTTCCCTCTTAGAAGATCGGAGCTATAAGGAATGGGTTTCTTTTAAGACACACTCCTTTTTTCTCTCTTCCTTTAGCGAGTACTATCCCTTTTATAATTCAAGATAAAGAAGCCGTATTTCTCCTGTTGAAACTATTTTATGTACAGTACACATATTCTTGGTAGCAGCAGGATTTGGTTTAACTCAGTTCTTTTATTGAGTATCTTCATGCAGTCTTCACAGGCCACATTTTATATGATTCACCTTGTAGCTAAAAGTGTTTCGGTTATTTGGAGATCTCGTTTCATAAAATGATATCTCATTATATGATCCAGGAGAAATATGTTTTATGTTGATAAAATGTTCTGTTCAAGGAGATCTATTAAAAGGTTATTACTGTTGTAGTTACGTGTCCCTGAGTGAGTTGGCACCAGTGCATGGCCATCGTATGCACAAGAGATTGGAACACTACTGTCTGGTGCCATGCTCAGCATGATTGTTAGGTTTCAGCCCATTGTTGCAGCCATTGTATCAATCCATCTCCTTCATGGTCTCCCCCCTTTTCCTCTACCTTTCACTCCACTAAACATGATGCCCTTTTCCAAGGACTCGTCTTTTCTAATAACAGGTCCAAGGTACATAAAACAAAGTCTTGCTAGCCTCACTTCTAAGGAGCATCCTGTTCTACTTTTTCCAAGACAGATTCTTTGATCTTCTGCCAATTCTTCAACAAAACTATAATTCAAATGTATCAATTCTTCTTCCACCTGCCTTATTTATTATCCAACTTTCACAGGCATGTGGAAAGACTGAAAATACCATGACTTGGGTTTGGAAATACTACGACTTTGGTTAGATGAAAATTTAACTTCAAAATGACATCTTTGCTCTTTGACACTTTAAAGAAGTCTTGTGCAGATTTGCCTAATATAATATATCACTCAATTTCTTGTCTCCAGCCTCCATCATCATTGTCCATGAATCCAAGTGAAGTGAAATCCTTAACAAATTTGATCCTTCTTTTGTTTTTCTTTCTTTCTTTTTAAAAAATAATTTTATCAGGAGGTCTTACAGATCTTATAACATTCCATATGTCAATTGTATCAAGTATGTTTGTACACATGTTGCCATCATGATTTCCAATACATTTTCCATTTGAGCCCTTGGGATAAACTCCACTTTTCCCCCTCCACCCACTTCCCACCCTTGTGAATCCTTGATCAATTATATATTGTTATTATTTCGTATCTTACACTGTCCATTGTCTACTTTCACCCACATTTCTGTTATTCATACCTTTTGAGGTGGGGCTATATATCCAAACTTGTGATGGATTCTCCCGTTCTCCCCCTTCCTCCTCCCAACTATCCCCCTACCCTAATGATATCACCACTTGCACTACTGTTCCTGAGGGTTTTATCTGTCCTGAACTTCATGTGTTGAGAGCTCTTCTCTGTACCAATGTGCATTCTCTGGTCTAGCCTGATTTGTGAGGTAGAACTGAGTCATGGTAGTGGGGGTGAAGAAGCATTCAGGAGCTAGAGGAATGATATGTGATTCATCTTTGCTATACTGAACCTTGGTTGAATCATCCCTTCCTTATAACTCTTCTGTTGGGGGATATCCAATTGTCTACAGATGGTCTTTGGTTCTCCACTCCGACCTTTCTCATTCACATCAATATAATTGTTTGTTTGGGGTCTTCTGATGTCTGATACCTGATCCTGTTGAGACCTCATTGTCACACAGGCTGGTGTGCTTCTTCCATGTGGGCTTATTTACTTCCCTGTTGGATGGCTGCTTGTTTAACTTCAAACCTTTAAGGCCCCAGGTGCTATATCTTTTGATAGCCGGGCACCATCTGCTCTCTT